AAGCAGCTGATAATATATAGCACCGTTTTAATCCTACCTGATGAACAAGAGAAGTTTCTTTGGACAAAGCCCAGCTTTAACAAAAAGTAAAATGTCCTTTTATCAACTTGATCCGAATTGTCTGCACCCGCGTTATTATAGAGAATCCAAGTTTCGTCACCAGGGACTAAATTCTTCAAAAAAAGTTCTTTTTCATTATAACAGCTGTGCAGAAGAAAATCATACGTGGACACTGGATCCAATAAGTTTCGTTACGTCAACTGATAGAGTACCTACTCTTCAGAACAATTTGTATATCCAAATTTAATGTTATGCTGGTGGTTTCGATTTCGATATTTAAATTTCCAACTTTCAATCTTTTAAACCAGTTGTGGATGGTTTGAACTGTCACAAGACTATCTCCGTAAACGATAAGATATTCGCCAGCTGCTCCCTTAATACTCTTGTCTTCTTTAAAACAATGAAACATCACATGTTACAAATTCTTTCTCTGGTCTTCGATATTTCAAAATATTCAGAAATCGAACAAAACGCTTTGGGAACGAGAAAATATACTATTTGAAAACTATAATACAACTGAATGTCCTAACGTTAAGAAAAAATAGACAAGATCACATATTTCCTCAGTTTATAAAAACCGAGCGTACTTACGAAAAGAACTTATGGGACAACCTAATAGATAATAATCGCAGAAATGATTGCAGAAAAGTTAGTTTTCCTTTCCCAAAATAGAATGTTAAGTGTTGAAAATTAATATTGCGCTTACTGAATATCATATAGGCTCTATGATTTTATTTGTTCATAGAAATCAGCCTTCCCAAGTAATATGTGAATGTAATATTGTACTTTCAGATATGTATACGTCGTAAAAATTCGAATGAACTAATTCGAATTATAACTCATCCTGATATTAGAGCTGTTCGAGTACTTGAAATTCAAACTAAGTCAAGTATTTAATTATCCAAGAAACTTGAATATTTGGTCAAACTTGAGGAAATTCAATCTGTTCAAATGTTTGAACAACATAATTGTTTTTACAAAATGTGTGAATATCTATAATGTAATAAGTTAAAAAATTATATGTTAATTATAAGAATTACATTTATATTACGTATTAAGGTTTGTATCCTTGTTTCAAAATCATCTTATTCTAAACTCAAAGAAATTTAAAATTTTTAATCATTCTGTAACTTTTACTAACTTGCCATCAACTACCTCAAGTTATTTAAATGAACAGATATTTCTTTTAATTTCTATAATTATCATGATTATTCTTGATGTGTGAACCCGCCTGAACGTTCATGGCGCGCGCACGCATGTGTGTGTGACAGAGAGCACTCGAGGAGTGTGGACCATCCACGCAGTGGACGCTGCGAACATTAAAAGTAGTGAAACCGAGAATTCCATTTATACCCCCAAAAGAAAATACATATAACATTTTATTATCTACTAAGAATAGACGATGCTCATTTATTTATTTATTTATTTGCCCTGTGCCACCACAGTTACAACAAATTGGCAACGAGGATGGAATAAAGTTCTGTACTACACAGTTGTGCGCACAGTTAACTTAAAAAGCCACGCGTGAGCCAGGCATACTAACAATAAGTACGAAAGGACACAAGAGAAAAATGGCCGATACAGTATTACATGCGCAAATACAATTTGAAACCTTCGATCCAAAAGCTACTAGCTACGGGGGAACGATGGCTATAAAGAAAGGAAGTAGCATTTTCGGTGTTGAATATTACGGGAGAGAACAAAGTAAAGTATCTGCTATTCTACAGGGTGTCTTGTTTAAATGAGTACAGCAGGATATCTCGGAAGGAGTTGTAGTTATTAAAAAAATGTTCGTACAAAAATTGTTTGCTAAGACGGATTACATCATGTAGTACTAATTGTTTTTTTGTGGGTGGAGTGGTGGAGAAGATTAAATATTGAAGCCGCAGCAAACATCCATATCGTTCAAGGAAAAAGAAAAAGATGGAGAGAACTGCTTTGTCAAAAGGGAAGAAGAAATAATAGTAAGTCAATACACAATTTTCTGCTCAAATCCATACATAATTGTCAAAGGCAAGAAATTTGAGAACTAACTTTTCACATTAATTTCGGTGAAGGAGGTATTAAATAATAATCGTAATTGACAAAAAGGACGTAACAAAAAAGCAGACACAAAAAATGCTCCAAAATTATTTGTACACATATTTTCTAAATACTTTTAGAACATTGAGAAGTAAATATAGATCATTGTTATATAGTTAGTACTTGACAAAAATATAATGAATAAGAAACAATAGTTAAGTCCAAAAGTTCGAATCTGCGATCAAAAAACTTTTAGTGGTTTCACAGTCGGATACTTCGCGAACGACCCCGTTGAAAATATCGTCAATATTTTAGAATATATCGCGCTTAGCGGTTGGCTTTATTTTATTTTGTTCAATTCTTATGTAATTTTGCTTAGTGTAGAAACATTAAACGCATAAAAATGCATAAAAATTCAACGTGTAAGCTACTTTAATACGCAGAAAATAAGGAAAGAAACGATTTTTATTTTGTCTCATTACGGCGCACCAAAGTGACAAATTTGAAACAAAATTGAGAATAATAGTAATAACAATAACTGTTTATTGTAAAAATATAAAAGTAATTCTGCAACAGCTTCAATACGTAATCGGCATTTTTCGACATTTTTTACGATTTTTTATTTTTTATAACCTGGTTTTTTCATCTACAAATCGGAAAAACTTCGAAAATATGTGCCTCGGAAATGTCTCTGAATTTGTTTACATTTTTGTATTCAATAGAACAAGAGAAATTGCGCAAAAACAAGATTTTCTTTATCACCCCATTATTAATCCCACCATCGAGATTTTGGATTAAAAATTAGCACAAAGTGTTCTCTTTCGATAAGCTATCAAATGACCCATCGCATGTTCAATTTGGTTTGGGGCACATGTGACCCCCTTATTCAGGTATACCCTTTACACTGCCGACAGATCACAGACTATTGACACAGATTCTATCGCCCAAAAGGAGTACCATTTCTTGCAGGTATGAGGATGCAACACTACGCCATTTTTCTGCAGGTATATAACTTCATCATTAAATACTGGAGCTCAGAAGAAAACGCAAATGAAGACAACTTATCAAGACTGCCATTAACAACTGAAAAAGAAAATATAGACGTAGTAGATGTGTTCCATATTTCGGGACTAGATACATAATACTACCAATAATTTTTGCTTTAAGCAAAAGATTTCGCTTAGAATTCGCTAAGGAGAATAGCTTATTAGTCAGAGAACAATAGGTAGTAATTCCACGATCACTATAAGAAAAAGTGCTACAAGAGTTGCATATAGGACATTTCGAAATCTCGAAAATGAAGAATCTAATCAGAGGTTATTGTTGGTGGCCAAATATAAGAAAGAACATCGAGCGATTATGTAGAATACGCAGCGAATGTAATACATACAGAAACAATCCAGTCAAGGTTGATGAACATGTCTAGGAACAGCCATTGTGACCTTTCGACCGAATACATGCAGATTTTGCTGGACCCTTCTTAGGAGAAATGTTCTTTATACTCGTGGGCGTCTACTCAAAATGGCCAGAGGTATACATAGTAAATAGTATCAACACTGAAACTACAATTAAAAAATGCAAAGAGATCTTCACCTGTCCTAGAATACCAAAAACACTGCTAACAGACAATGGTAGAATATACATATGTATCTACGGAATTCAAGAATTTCTTGAAAACAAATGATATCAAACGTAAACGAACACAAAACGCCATACCACCCTGTAACCAATGGTCAAACAAAAAGATACGTGCAAACTATCAAGAATGAACTAAAAAAAATGCAAATACAGAAAATACAAACGTAGAAAACATGCTACAAATACTATTGGCGCAGTATCGCAATATACCTCATTCAACAAGCGAACTCATGTTTAATACAAAAATCAAATATAGACTAGACTTACTGAAACCGACTACAAAAAATATGATGAAGGAACAAAAAATGAAATGAGAAAGAGATGGGTGTAGAAACTATACAAGCAAAGAAAAATGGATATTTGGCAAAATAATGGAGAAAATAGGCAAATTACATTATAAAGTAAAGCTGGAAAACAACAGGGTATGAATCAGATACGTTGGCTAAGTATTCTAGATCGGGGAAAAGACGCCAAAGAGGAGAAGCAAAAACTCAGAAGAGTATATTAGCTCAGCAACTCAGAAGAAACAATAGAGGAAATAAGTTTAGACGAGTCAGAATGTACAGTAAATGCAAAATGAGGAACTGCACTGGCGAACAGAGCTCAAAGACATCAAAATCAACGGATTTCTACTTTAGTAAATAAACCAGCACATGAGGCAGTATTGAGAATTATAGAACAGACTCCTCGAAGACCACCGCACGAAAGAAAATAGTCCCAACATCTCAAAGATTACATATTACATTAATTATAAGTCACCATTTGAAATAAGTTTTAAGTAAATTATCAAGTATCATATTGTGTATGTATTCGCATTCTTGTAAGAGAAGGAAGTGTTGTGAACCAGCCTGAACGTTCATGCACACGCGCGCGCGCGCGCGCGTGTGTGTGTGTGTGTGTGTGTGTGTGTGTGTGTGTGTGTGTCTTTATGAACAAAGAGTACTTGAGGAGCTTGATACATTGGAAGTATTAGAACCGAAAATTCCATTCACAGCTTCAAAAAAAAAATATGTATATCGTTTGCCCTGCGCCGTCACAATTACAACACTTGACTTTATCTAATTGTAAGCTTATTCAAATCTTATCCAAGCGAAATTTATTATTCAAATATAATACTATAATTAAGTAAGAATACATAATCAAGTTTGTTTGGATAATTAAGATTACTTAAACAATCAAACACTTGATTTGATTTTAAAAATCTAAACTAAGCTTGACTCGGCTTATATTCTCAAGTACTTGGACTCCTCTAACTAATATTATTATATCATTATATTTACTTTGAACCCGAGTTCTCCAGGATTTTCCGGTTCAAAATCATACAAAGCCGTGCAACAAGGTTGTCTTGCCATAGGAGTCCTTGCTGGAGATTTACTCGGAGATGGCAACGGAGAAGCTGAAAAATATTAAGAATTCTTGTTACTTCAAAAAATAAATAAAACAATGTAATGAAACATTAGACTACCTGTAGCAATCTTACGTATGATAGATCTGTACAAATCGCACAGGTGAAAAATTTATTTTCACCAATTTTTTTCTTTACAGTACTTTATTGGTAACCTCGAAAAAGTACAGTATTCCAAATTTTAGCCGCTTAACTTAAATGGTTTTCGAAATATTAAATATTAAAAATTTGAAAATTTCACAACTATGACTGGGACTGTCATACTTCGGGGTAATTATTCGAAATTATGACCACCTCATCGATTTAGATAATATTAAAATACAGTCAGTCCCATAAGTATTCGTACCCTCGTTGCTTGTAAGAGAAATTTGTTGAAATCAAAGGATGTATTTAAAATTTTGCAATAAATGTTTTATTATAAATGAACACATGTATAAAATTTATTTTTACTAAATTATAACAAAATTGATTAACTAATAACAAAAATATGTTGATTTACTCTGCATAGTACATAATAACAGGCCACCAAAGTATTCGTATCAATGTAGATTTTGTCGAAAAATAGCATATTATGGTAATTTTTTTATTTTTTATTAATTTTCTAGCATTTCATGGGTCCACCTTTATGCTTTATTAGATCGTTTAATCGATTTGGCATACTTTCTATCAGTTTTAAAGTGATATTTGGTTCAATACTATTGCAAACTTCCACAATTTTTTCTTTTAGCATTTGTTTATTGGAAATTTCATGCTCGTCTAGTTTTTTATCTATTTCCGCCCATAAATTTTTTATAGGATTTGTATCTGGACTCTGAGGATGTGTACGTACAAAATGGGAAACGGGATTAAAGTATCCACTCACGAACAATCTGAGCAGTATGCTTCTCCCTTCTTTCTCGATGTTCGACCATGAAAATTTTCACCTCTCAATATTCTTCGACAAATTTCAACAGTTATAGTTAATAGTTTTTCGTTCTCGAACGGTTAAAATCTTTGGTCTTCTATTATTGATTCTTTTAATGAAACGACGGAATTTAAACTTCGACGCTTCTTAAGTAGACGCGATATCGGGAATCAAATGATTTCAAATTTCCTGCAAAAACTGAAAAATTTAGCAGAAGAACTATGCAGCGACACAGTTCCGAGGATGTTATTTTTTAAACAGTTGCTAGATGAAGTTCGCAGCGTTTTAACAATAAGCGAAATTGCTGATTTATCTCGGCTTGTGTTACAGGCTTAAGATTCTGAAAGTATCATCGATGTCCATGCCTATAGTCAACCCTGTTCCAGTTCCAAACAACACTACAAATTAAAGTGTAAACAGAAAAACTAACTTTTATAATTTAACATTATTTCATAAAGTCAACCATCGGTTTTAATCTGCTAACCGATCTGTAGATTTAGCTGATATGATGTCTTTTTACCACAGTAAAGGGATAAAAGAGTACAAGTACCATGAGTCCTACTCATAAAAACCAAAATTGCTGGAAAACTAAAGACATTTTCGCACGTAGAGGCGGTTGTGAAAAGAGAACAATGGCAACACCGTCTTGTGATGGCAGACAGATGCACGCAGATCAGGTATTTGATAGACACCAGAACTGACATTTCGGTGCTGCCCTAAGCGTCTAGTCAAGCCAACAGGGTTTGCGATTAATACTTTTGAAATACAGTCTTTACATGTAGACCTAAAGTTTTTTTTTTTTTAAATTCATGTTTTATGTCGCATCGACCTTCGGATTATTAGCGACGACTTGGTGCTGGGTTCTCCTCTTTTGGTGTGGTTATTGTTGGTTTCTTTTAGATATTTCAGAGTATTTTCTATATGTTTCTGTGACATCAAGGCTATAGGTAATGTTATCTTATATTTTTGTCTTTGGACGTTGTATCTTTTACATTCATATAGTAGATGGTTGGTCATTATGACTTTGTAGCATAGGTTACAGGTTGGTGGTTCGGCTTCTTTTCATTAGGTACTCGTGTGTGAGTTTACAGTGTTCTGTTCATAGCCTTGTCATGATTATTCGATCTTTGCTCTTCACATTATTGGTGGGTAATGATTAATAAAAATCTTGTGTTATTTCGTGCGTTTTTGTTTTTTTTGGACGAAATCCATAATGTATTCTATTCTTGTTTTGTGGCGTGATTTATTGCAACAGCAAGATCTTGATATGGGATTTGCCTTGGGGTTCCATCTGATGGGAGCAGTGTTGTTTCTTTGACTTATGCGTTTGCCGTTGTTGGTAAGGTCTGTGTCATAGGTGTTGAATGTTTGTTATGATTTCATGTTTGGTCGTACTGTTGGTACTTCGCAGTCCGTTAATTACGCTCATGGAATCTGTAAAAATGATGGAGTTTTGGTGGTTATTGTTTAGTGTATGACGAAAGGCTTCAAGAGCTGCGTAAGCTTCTGCTATAAATATTGAGGCAGCTTTTAGAAGATGGTGTTTTTTGGGCGTGTTGTCGCAGATGATGGCAAATTTCACCTCCTGATTTTTTTTTTATGCATCGGTGTATATTTTTTGGTAGTTCAGGTATTACTTGCATAATTGTTGGAAATTGTATCTAAGTTCCGTGTTATGTATTTGATCTTTAGGAAATTTTGCCAGATCTACATTTATTTTAGGAATTTTTAAGATCCATGGAGCTGTTTTCTTGTGACTACATACAACAGTTGATTACGATGTGATCAGAGCTAGGCTACTGAACTTGGTTATTCTATCATAGAAAGAAATTGGTGATTTGGGTTTTTTTCTTATTAAGTGCATGTATCTATTTGCAAATATGTTGTTGCACGTTGAGTTATCTGGGGTCGAAAACATTTTGGCAGCGTATTTTATGGTACTGGACTGGTTCTGTAGCTTCCAGTGGCTAATCTTAGGGCGACATTTTTAATCCGGTCTATCATTTTTAGTGTACTTAGTTTTGCCGAGTTGTAAACTATTGAACAGTAGTCTAGTTTAGATCGTATTAATGCATGATAGGTTTTTATAATAATTTCCAGATCGGCTCCCCCGCTGTTGTTTGCAAAACCTTTTATAATACTCATTTTTTTTGTGCAAGAAATTTTTAGATGCTTCATATGCGGCACCCGCGTCACATTTATGGTCAAAAATAAGTCCGAGTGTCTTAATGTTGCCCCTACCTTTTCAATTTCGAAGTTTCTCATGTAGAGTTTGGGAGGGTGTTGGTTCTGTTTGTGATGACGAGAGAATATGATATACTTTGTTTTTTGGGAAGAAAATTTCAGTCCTAATTTTGCAGACCATGTTAGGAGATCGTTTATACTTCTCTGTAGGAGTTTTATGGTTGTGGTTATAATCTTCTCGCTGCAAGTTAAGGTTGGGTCGCCTGCAAACAGGATTCCTTATACTGGAAGTTTGATTCTGTTTAATATATCATTTATTACTAATAAAAATAACGTAATACTAATTACTGAGCATTGTGGTACTCCGTTTTGAATAATAATTGGGTTGGAGAGTATCCCGTTGGTTTTCACTTGTACAATCCTGTTTGTGAGGAAGTTTTTAATGAAAGCTATCATTAGCAACAATCGTTTAGACCTATTTTAGCGAGGGATTCGATGATGTTTGTTTTTGGTATTGTGTCATATGCTTTTTCGATATCCAAGTATACTGTGATTAGGGATTCGTTTTTTAAAAACGCCTCGCATATGCTAGTCTCTATGTTGATAAGAGCATCGCTAGTCGAGCGATACTGTTTTCCCCCGGTTTGAGTATGGGTACGATTATGGCTTTCCTCCAATTGTCGGGAAAAACTTGACTGAGCCATATGCAATTATAAATTTTTAGGAGGTGGTTGGTTCCGATTTGTGGTAATTCCTTGATTAGTTGGTTTGGAATATTATCTAGTCCTGGGACGGAGATTTTTGTTTTGAACAGTGCTTTTTAACTCATTCAAAGTTATGCTCGAATGTAGGGTGGGTATTATGTCGAGATTGTTTGCATGTCGCTGCAATTTGTTGGGCTTGTATTGTCAGTCGTAGGTGCATGTCTTTTATCATATCTTTCATTGTTTGAATTCCTTTGGAACGTCTCTGCAAGAAGGTCGACAAAATTCTTTGGATTGGTGATATAGGTGTCATTTCCTATGTCAAAAAAGTATATTTCTGTATTAAAAGTTTTTCCGTTGATGTTTTTAATTTGATTCCATATAGTGTTTCTTATGAATGATATGTATGATTTCCAGGATTGCCTTTTGCTTTCTTTTATTATCTTGCGAAATTTTGCACTAAGTTCTTTAAAGTTGACCCAGTTTTCTGTCGTGGGTTGTTTTTTTACTTTGTTGAAAACTTTATGGCTTTCTTTCATGGCCATCTGACACTCTTCATTCCACCAAGGTGTATTTCTTTTCTTAGTACTTATTTGCTTTGTTGGCTCAGAGGATTCCTCTGCTGCTGTTTTGATAATTGTTTCCAGTAAGTCTATTTCTTAATTAATGTTATTTGGGTTGATTTCTCGATTTAGGGTTTCTTGGAGACTGTTGATTATGGTTGTTTTGTACTTATACCAGTTTATTTTTTTGAAATTCCATTATAGGGGAAGAAAGTGATGTTCTTGTATTGGAGAGATGTGTGTAGGATACTTTACTTGGGAACTTACTACTGTCATGGAGGTTTTAGAGGGACTCCTATTCTAAGTGCTGGGTCAGTTTACTGCTACAGATCGTTAGATCGATTGCACTTAATTTACCAGTGCTTACAGTGAAATGGGTTGGGCTGCCTGAGTTTAGTAGTGTGATTTCTGGGCTCTCTATTAGCTTTTCAATCATTTTCCCACAACCGACTACTTTGTACGAACCCCAAAGATAGTGGTGGCTGTTAAAATCACCCATTAAGATAAATGGTATCGTAAGTTGACATATGAGTATTTTTAGGTCAGTCAAGCTTAAGATTTTGTTATTTGGTATGTATACATTACATATGTTAATCTTACTTAAAAGAGATACAGTAACCGCAATTGCTTCCAAGT